AGGCAGGCCAGATCATTCCCCATTACCTGGAAAGGGTCACGGTAACTGATGAATATGCTGCAATCTACAGCTTAACTTCAGAATCTGTTCCCTCATGGCCCAATAGATAGCTTACTTGATACCACAGTGTAGAGAACTATCAGAGGGGCCAAGAATCAAGTGATCTATTCTGGTGTGGACATCGATATCATTAAAAACGTTATTGAGGAGTTTCAGCCACAAGGCAGGAAACATTTGTTGCTCTTTTTTTTTTTCAGATAGAAGTGTCTGACATGCCCTGATTGGTGCTACTGCTTTCTTTAGCTATTGGTGTGGGAAGAGTGTCCTTATCCTTCTTCTCAGTAAATAAATCCTCAGAGAACATCTTTGTGGGCAAACATGTTTTAAAATCGCTGTTTCTTTTTAGCCCTGCTGGTTGCTCTCAGAAGTGAGGAAAATGGCTCCTTAACAATTTTTAGGTTTTGTTGAATAGATCTTCAAAAGTTTTTATTGTCCTTAGGTTCGAGGTGACGAATAATACAGCCAAATGTCTCTTAATGTTTTTTTCTTCATTTCCCATGGTTAGAGTATAGATTCTAAATTGTCTAGTATTATTTTAAAATAAGTTTTAAAACAGGGCTTTTCTGCTTTCTGTTTTTAAAAATGATTTTAGGATTATTTGCAAAATACTAATAGAGGCCTTTCTGTTCCTATGGATCAAGAAGATACATATGTGATCAGGTTTCTTTACAAAATGCATGGTATATTTAACTAATAATGGGCAAGATAAATGCTGTGTTTTGAGCTTTGTTAATAAGGTCTTCTAGTCTACTTCTCTTGGAGAGACACTTGAAGAAGCCTATGCAAAATGGAGAGACCAGCATCTTTAACTTTGTCAAGTTCTGCCATCACAAATACAACTTAAAGAAGCAGTTCTGCAGCCTGGGCTTTAGGAAAATCAGATGGTGATTTGGGGTATGTGGTTTTGGCCTGGAATCCCTAATTACTGATTTGAGTTGTGTGCTCAGGTATACATTGTAAACTTGTAATACCCAGTTATGCCAGGCTAAAGTGATAGAATTCAGCAGAAGCAGCAACCTGTATGTAATTTTTCTGTGTACAGGTCTGTGTGAAGGAAAATACAAACCTGTTTTACATGTGTCCATGTGAATTTTAGTCTGCATCCTTAATTCACAGTGCCCTAAACAGGAGGCAGGCCTCACTAGGGTGCCAGCCACGTTAGTAGAGAAGAATGTGTTTTTTCTGTTCCCTCTTAAGCTCAGACTGTGTAAGATGGAGTTGTGTATTCTTCCTCCCTTACCAGTGTGTGTGGGGAGGAGGAATCTGAATGGAAGGAGCATGGCAAAAAATGGCTGTTTTTTAAGCTCACAATTTCCCTACTCAGACTGCTTTTTCTTCTATGAAGGAAGGAGATACAGACAGGATACACCAATAGGAAATAATGTAGGAAAGGTAATTTTGACTTGGAAAGAACAGAGGAAAGGACAAGTAGCTATTCCCTACCTATTCAGATTCATACTCTCAGCATTTCATTGAAAAAAAGGCAGAAGAAAGAATTGTAGAACTCTGTTTCATGGGTAAGTTTGAGATCTACTGTACCATGATTGAGATAAATAGTAAGGCACCAACTATTCCAGTCTGCAAAGCATCATAAAGATATAACATTTTTGTTTACAATTTATTCATTAGAGCAACTGTCACCAATAGATTTCCTTGGGGTTGGTTTTTTTTCCCATTTATGAGACTTTGTGGCTTTTCATGTTGGGTTTTTAATATATATATGAGCTTTTATATATTATGCATATATGAGCTTAGGTGGTTGCCACTTGCTTTACTTTTCTTTAGAAAACTGGTTTCTGGTCTTGAATAATACCACTGTGATAAAAGTCTATTTATCCCAAATCAAAAGACTTAAATATAGTGTGTGTGTGCCAAGGTGTATTAGCCCTGACAATACTTTCTGAATTAACAGTCACTTGCATGTCACATTTATTTTATTGCTTACTGTGAAGCTTTTCCATTATTATTTTTTAAAAATTAGTGTAATATGGAAAGTAAGTCAAAATGGGTTCTGCAGCTGCAACCACCATGATCAATCAATGCTGGCAGTGCCTGCTGAAAATCTTAAGATTTTTTTCCCCCATATACCATATAGCTATAAAGATCCTTTCCATACATCTACATATAGAAGCACACATAAGAAATAAACATTCAGGTAGTGAGTCTGGAGTACAAACAAAGTTACACAATTACAAAAAGAGTTGCCATTTTTGGCATAACTTGATTCAGAAACCTCATGCCAAGTATAGTGATTAAACCAGCGTGGTTTCTTTTTCTGTTTGTATCCGCCAACTGAGGTCTAACCATCCACTCCACAAGCAGTATGGCTGATTTGTTAGTCATCTGTTATTATAATTGTTACATGTGGAAGAAAAACAGATACCCAGAAATAAAATGCAGTGGTGAGATTTGGATGGTATATATTCTTTAGTAAGTTGTTTCTTTTGGGAACAGATACACCCAGAAGCAAATATTTGCTTCCACTTGTAGGAAATTCATGCCCAAAGTTGAAGCCTTGCTTACCTTTTTTGAATCTGGCTATCTATAATCTTAACCTTATAACTACACAGCTGGAAGGGACCCTATGAATCACTGAGTCCAGCCCCTGTCAAGAAGAAATAGTGGGGAATCGAACCTCTGGCTCCACACCCAGATACCTGAATCAAACCTCTGGCTCCACACCCAGATACCTGAACTACTGAGCTATGTAACAATTACTAGAACACTCAGTGATGTACTTAAGTACTATAAACAAAACAGGTGTTTGTCAGGGTGCCAGCCAGCTATGCCATTTCCTAGTATATTCCAGTTTCTCCCATCACCTTTACATTTCTTTCGTTTGCAACAGATATTCAGAGTATTGTGGCTGCTGCTGAGGCTCAGTTCTTATTGGGCTGATTCTTAAGGACATTTGATGCTTTAATTTCTTGCTATTCTCCTACAAGTTGCTCCTCTGAAGCAGCTACTTGCATTGGGTGGAAATCTTCCCTGGATACTAGGCAGTAAAATAGTTGCAAGCAGGATGGAATTTTGTGAAGAAGATTAAGGGCTCGATCACACCTGCTGAAAGAACCCAGTTATACCATTTTTGCTGTTGTTGTTTCAAAAATTTTCATTCACGTGACACACAGCTGATTCATTTGCCTTGGCAATCAGTTTATTTCCTCCTCTCTGTTTTAAAATGTACCAATCATATATTTCTTCATTCCATATTATATCAGCATGTGTGAATATTGCTGTCGATTTATTTCCTTTGCAAAGGAGTTGGGTTTTTGGACGCTGTGGCCACTTGATGGCCACTGTGCTTTTACCTTATTTTTTTAAAAGAGATATTAGCAGCCACTGTCACCACCACAAAAACAACTTGAATACATTGCTCAGAAGGATGCATCCTTCCACATTCCCTTACAGGTGAAAAAGGACTTCAGCAGAGAAAGGGACATTTTCTGCTTTGAACTCTAAAGAAAAGAGATATGAGATTAGCATCTCATATCTCTTTTTAAACCCTGCTCTTCACAATACTTTTCAAGTCTTTTAAAACCTGCTTCCTCCTCCCAGTTCTTTCACAAGGGAAAAGAAAAATGAAAGCCAAAAACTGAGAGGAGAGATATGCAAGGAAATAAGGAAAAGGGGGACAAGTGAGTAAAAGAGGGGAAAGAAGGCTTATATGGCTTTATTGACATATCACTTTTGTACTTTAAAAAAAGGACAGTGGAGGGCATGAATGCCCCAAGAAACAGTAGAGAAAATGAATGGATACAAAAAATTAAACAGCAGTATAGTTTGCTATAGCAGTTCAAATACACACACACACACACACATACACACACCATGTAACCACTGGAAAAAATTATTAATACAAGAGAGAGATTTAAAGAATCAACCACTGGAAAAAATATTAATACAAGAGAGAGATTTAAAGAATCAGTATAACTGAGGTTCTTTTGGCATGTGCGATTGACCCCTCAGGGTGGGTCATGTATGTTCACCCTATGGGCATGTTGTGGATGTGGCTCTGGGACCATCTGCTAGATCAGTGGTTTGCAAACCTAGAACTCCAGAGTTGGAACCAGGTGCTGGCAAAATATATTTTGTTATTGAAGACAGAACAGGAAGTAGTGCCGAACATCTAGAGTAAATGGAGTATATTCAAGTCTGATCAAAATAACTTTTAGCACTTGCAGCTGAAATCCCACAAGTGAATTTTTAAGGTTAAAAAAACTATTTAAATTCTTATTATTATAAGATTTGCTGACCTTTCATGACACCCACAGTATTTGTTTGTTTTTGTTGAGACTGTTAATATGGTACAAATGGTCTTATTGACTGGCGAAGTGGACTAACAATTCTATATTATTTTGTGAAGTGATGATACAGTGCATGGAATGCCGAAATAAGTATTTCTTTCTGTACTTCTGTTTGCAATTTCCTTTAATGTTACTCTGAGAGTAATATAGGTTCATAAAATCAGTAGTACCCAAGTTAATTGTGATGAACAAGTCCCACATGTTACTAGGCAGAACTGGCATTGCATGGCAGCCCTTAATAAGTTTAGATATGTGGGGTGTCGGTAGGCTTTCACTGTGATGCTAGGATGAGTTTTTAAAATTATATTGGTACCATAAGATAAAATAACTGTCATCCACTGTTAAAGTAGTAATATTTATTATTGCAGCTGCTACTGCTTGTGGTATGAAATTTTGTAATGATCATGTTGCATCATCTGCTGATATATGTTGTTTAGAAAACCTTTTATTGACTATGTATGTATGTTATAATCCAATACAAATGGAGTATACATTCACAACAAGTGTGTTCTAACCTTGTACTGAGCACTTTGTGGCACCTGGC